CCCTTAAGGTCTGGTACGAATTTTAGGAGGGACCCCGTGTAAAACAAAACAAAAAAAAGTGTGTGGGGCTCCCCCTTAAAGTCATACCAGGCCTTTAAGGTCTGGTAGAAATTTTAAGGCGGAACCCCACCCCCAAAAATGGGGGGGGGAGCCTGGGGTCCCCCCTAAAATTTAATACCAGACCCTTGATCTGGGTACGATTCTCGGCGGGTTTTCAAGCCTGCTTGTTCGACGGAAGTCATGCGACCGTTCAGTAGAAACGGTCTCACGCCTTCCATACACTGCACGATTATCGTACGATCGCGGGATTTCCGAGAATCGTACAGTGTATGGGCACCTTTACAGAGTACTGGGCCCTGATTTGGCACATCTTTGCAAGGCTTTAGCCAATCAGGGGTCACAAAGCACACTGCCTTATGGGGCGCTCAGTGGGCGAATAACTCACGTTCAACTCCAACATTAAGCCCGTCTCTAAAAATAACTCCATATGCATAGTACTTTGAATCCAGCACCACAGTAGTGCAAGGCAAGAGAGATGACTCCTTGCTCACTGTGCTACATGTGTAAAATGCTGTTTTTGCCTTTATCATTTATCCTTGTATAAATATGAGATTACATTTTAGGAGCAATCATTTAAGAAATCTGAAAATTGATATTGATGTGTGAATTTTTTCTTGCACTTCTATATGGCAACAGAGCCACCTACAGGCTAAGAGGGAGCTTTCTGACCTATCCTATGACATGGAAACATATAGATTTAATGCTACAGTCCAGAAAATCTAAAGTGCAGTGTTTTATGCAGTGACACATATGCTATTCAACAGAAATGCCAGCTTCCCTGTTTTTTTGCATATTTACCATGGAAAAGCTATTTTTATAAACCTCAAGTGATAATTATGTGGTGCATTGAGAATGCTGTGTGCCTGTAATATAAATACTCATTAGTATACCTTCATGCAGGCATGTCAGCAGTGCTTAGAGAAGTAACCTGAGGGCGGATAGCAATATTACAAAACATTTCACATATAAGTTACATATGCTTTTTCTCAAGTTCCCATGGCATATACAGCATGCTAAAGTGAGCTTAAAGTGATAATAAAGTCAAAAGGATTTTAAGATATTTCAAATGCTGATGAAAGCACTTACAATGAATGCTGCTCCATGATGTTTAAAAGTTTTAGTTTCTTGCAGAATCAGCTGATACCAGAGCACTGGTCCTGACTTCCTGTTTTAGAGGGACTCCCTTCTCAAGCAGAGTGCTATGCAGTCACCCTTTTGTGTGCTATTAAGCTGTGTGTCTCCACAAATACACAGACGCAGCACATCAAGCTACTCCCCTCCCCCCGGCCCCCTTTCCTCAATCCTCGCTACTCCAGGCTACCACCCCAATGCCAAAAAAGTTGGGATGCTGTGTATAATCTACATAAAAACAGAATGCAATGGTTTGCAAATCTCATAAACTCATTTTATTCACAATAGAAAATAGAAAACATATCAAATATTTAAACTGAGAAAATGTACCATTTTAAGAAAAAAATAAGGTAATTATGAAATTGATGGCAGCAACACATGTCAAAAAAGTTGGGACAAGGCCATGGTTACCATGTTAACAACACCCTGTAACCATGTGGGAAATGAGGAGACCAGTTGTTGCAGGTTTGGGAGAGGAATGTTGTCCCATTCTTACCTGATATAGGACTCTAACTGCTCAACAGCCCTGGGTCTTCTTTGTCGGATTTTACGTTTCAAGATGCATCAAATATTTTAAATTGGTGAAAGGTAGGGATGGGCTTGATGTTCGACTCGAACATCGGAACACACGAACTATCACTCCACAAGCCACTGAGCACCGCACAGTATTATTATCACAGGGATTGTATTATTTTATGTGTGAGGGGTGTGTGTGTGTGTGTGTGTATTACTTTATATGTGCAGGGGGTAGTATTTTTTCATGTGTATGGGGGGGGGGGGGGTTATATTCATTTTCATATATAAGGGGGGTGTATTAGGCTCCCCTCACATCTGTAAGTTTAGGTACAACTAGGGATTCCTGCGTCATGAACTTGCGTTTTCCTGTAGCAGGAATGCCTAATCGGGCGTTTACAAGCAGCAGCTGTCACCCATTCATAATTGCACCTAAACTTACAGATATAAGTAGGGCAGAACAGCAAGTATTAAAGGGATGCAGGCTGGACACCAGGGCAGTAGATTGTTGTTGTCTATTATGACTGCTGGTGACTATATAGTGTACATTCTGGACTTACCTTGGATCCTTCCACGCATTTACACCGTTGTCCCCACAGTGTTGGCATTATATATACTGTACGCACGCACGCACACACCTTTCAGGCTACACTTTATGCACAATAACACTTCTAGATGCTCCCTATAACTTAGCAAATCTTCACTTTTTGAGTTCAGTTGCACTTTAGAGTACACCTGCCATAAACTTAGACAATTCAAATGCATCCTAAAACCACATTTCATAATATTCAGTAAAGATATAGCTGGCTATTTGTTTTCTAGATACAGTTTCATAACCATATTCCATATGTTTTAGTCTGCAGCAGGAAAAGCCCGTCTCAGACAACTCCATGTAATAATTTTAAACAGTGTAGTTTAAAACACAACTCCAGGCAAAAATATTCTTAACCCTTGCAGTGGGGCTATCCCCTCTCTGCAAGGGTTAACAGCTCCTTTTGTTTAGGTGCTAAAAAAAAGTTATACTCACCCAAACCACAGAGCTGGCTGGCTACAACTCTGGTCTTGGAAGCCTCTCTCCTCCTCCACTGCAGGTATGTCCCTTGGCATCCCCATACATCCTATACACTGTGTATAGAACATGGTGAATCAAGGATCCTTAGTGTCACGTACCTGGTAGGACCTGAAGTGATGAGGGAAGCTCTCCCTTGCAGCTCTCGTCAGAGCACCCCTGGAGGTGGTACAGGGAATGCACGGAACAGAGAGAGGCAAGAGTGCCTGTGGCTGATGAAGAACTGCTGGTGAGGGGCTGCAAGTAGCTGGATGCAGGATACTCTGGAGCCAGATGATCAGCAGCAGGTCAGATTTCAGCAGGGAAGACGGAATCAGAGTCAGACGGACCAGGTCACCAACTGGCAGGCAGCGAGGTGCAGAAGCATAAGGCAGAGATGTAGTTACAGTAAGGCCAGATCGGAACCATGTAGACTAGCAGAGCCAAATAGGAATGCAGAAAAGTAGTCAAACAGGCAGAGGTCAGAAGGCAGGCGGCAGACAAGCAGGGTTCAGAGACTAGCCGAGTCAAATCCAAGATCTCTATAGCAGGGATAACAAATTCAGGATACAGCTGATGATCCAGCAACTAGCAGCTTCTACTAGCATCCTTAAATAAGCTGCCTGGTGCCAACAGGCGGAACGGGCGTGCGCATGTGCATGCGTTGCGCAGCGTACTGGCTGCGCTCATGCATTGGCCAGCGTACTGGAAGCGCTTATCTACATGTGCGTGGACGCACATGCTGTGAACACCTAATCAGTTTCTTTGCGCATATCCATGCAATACTTGTGCTATGGATGGCAGCCATATCTTCCAGACATTTAGACCAATTTTTTTTTTTTAGCACCTAGACAAAAGGAGCACTTAACCCTTGCAGTGCAGGGGTAGCCCCACTCCAAGGGTTAAGAAAAAAATCTGCCTGGAGTTCTGCTTTAAATCTGCAATGATTTGGACATTATATGGACCAGAAGTGATCCATCCAGAAAGTACATGTGATACTGATACTGCTGGGTCAGAGCAAAATTACATTAGACGTAGATTAGACTTTTACAATAATACCATGAATATTATGCTTTACCAAACCTACTGTAAAACTTTTAAGATTATTGTTTTAACTAATTTTAATTTCCTGTAAGTCATGGAAACACCAAGGGTACCCATAGACATGAACTGGTATGTCCATTCAGCGGTTTCCAGATGGACTGGCAACAGGTCCATGTCCATGGGAAGCCTCTGAATCCTGTCTGGTCAAACCACATTTCATAATATTCAGTAAAGATATAGCTGGCTATTTGTTTTCTAGATACAGTTTCATAACCATATTCCATATGTTTTAGTCTGCAGCAGGAAAAGCCCGTCTCAGACAACTCCATGTAATAATTTTAAACAGTGTAGTTTAAAACACAACTCCAGGCAAAAATATTCTTAACCCTTGCAGTGGGGCTATCCCCTCTCTGCAAGGGTTAACAGCTCCTTTTGTTTAGGTGCTAAAAAAAAGTTATACTCACCCAAACCACAGAGCTGGCTGGCTACAACTCTGGTCTTGGAAGCCTCTCTCCTCCTCCACTGCAGGTATGTCCCTTGGCATCCCCATACATCCTATACACTGTGTATAGAACATGGTGAATCAAGGATCCTTAGTGTCACGTACCTGGTAGGACCTGAAGTGATGAGGGAAGCTCTCCCTTGCAGCTCTCGTCAGAGCACCCCTGGAGGTGGTACAGGGAATGCACGGAACAGAGAGAGGCAAGAGTGCCTGTGGCTGATGAAGAACTGCTGGTGAGGGGCTGCAAGTAGCTGGATGCAGGATACTCTGGAGCCAGATGATCAGCAGCAGGTCAGATTTCAGCAGGGAAGACGGAATCAGAGTCAGACGGACCAGGTCACCAACTGGCAGGCAGCGAGGTGCAGAAGCATAAGGCAGAGATGTAGTTACAGTAAGGCCAGATCGGAACCATGTAGACTAGCAGAGCCAAATAGGAATGCAGAAAAGTAGTCAAACAGGCAGAGGTCAGAAGGCAGGCGGCAGACAAGCAGGGTTCAGAGACTAGCCGAGTCAAATCCAAGATCTCTATAGCAGGGATAACAAATTCAGGATACAGCTGATGATCCAGCAACTAGCAGCTTCTACTAGCATCCTTAAATAAGCTGCCTGGTGCCAACAGGCGGAACGGGCGTGCGCATGTGCATGCGTTGCGCAGCGTACTGGCTGCGCTCATGCATTGGCCAGCGTACTGGAAGCGCTTATCTACATGTGCGTGGACGCACATGCTGTGAACACCTAATCAGTTTCTTTGCGCATATCCATGCAATACTTGTGCTATGGATGGCAGCCATATCTTCCAGACATTTAGACCAATTTTTTTTTTTTAGCACCTAGACAAAAGGAGCACTTAACCCTTGCAGTGCAGGGGTAGCCCCACTCCAAGGGTTAAGAAAAAAATCTGCCTGGAGTTCTGCTTTAAATCTGCAATGATTTGGACATTATATGGACCAGAAGTGATCCATCCAGAAAGTACATGTGATACTGATACTGCTGGGTCAGAGCAAAATTACATTAGACGTAGATTAGACTTTTACAATAATACCATGAATATTATGCTTTACCAAACCTACTGTAAAACTTTTAAGATTATTGTTTTAACTAATTTTAATTTCCTGTAAGTCATGGAAACACCAAGGGTACCCATAGACATGAACTGGTATGTCCATTCAGCGGTTTCCAGATGGACTGGCAACAGGTCCATGTCCATGGGAAGCCTCTGAATCCTGTCTGGTCAGTTGCTGTCAGAAGAAACACCTGATCAGGTAGTGTGGAAAATCTGCCCTGATCTCTACAACTCTACCCTGAGAAAAGAAGTGTCAGCAGCATCTGCCAGTGCCATTTATCTCCTCCCACTCTAACATACGGGAACCTTCTGTTCTGGGTGGTCAGATTGTGCATGCATTCCTGATAACCTTCGTAGGTTTATGAGCAGACTAGTAACATTCTTATGTGATAATTGTAAGAGCCAGACTGAAATTGTATGTTATATCCAGTGAATAGGTTGACTTTCACATGAGTGATTTGTCTTTATATTTGTATGCATTTGTGTAATATTTGTATGAAACATACTTAAATTTGTTCCATATTGTAGAGTTAAGTATTCATGAACATTTTGCATGGAACTAAGCAATAGGCAATTTTTTTTCATAATTCAATTGCGGTAGGTAACACTAACAACAAGACATTGTTATAAATATAGTACAGAATAGTATATTGTTTCCTTGTATTTTAATGATCACTCCTTTTTTTGGTAAACCTTTAGAGACTTGCTCAGTGAATAATGGTGGCTGTGACAGTCGATGTCATGATGCAGTAACAGGAGTTCACTGCAGCTGTCCTATGGGTTTCATGCTACAAGCAGACAGGAAGACCTGCAAAGGTTAGTAGACCTGTAATCTTTTTGTTAAGTCCTTACGATCTATGTTTCATGTTACACCATGGCCATTGGGAGAGGGAATAATGTAACTATTTATAGGAGACATGCCAGATACAATATAGGCTGAGGGAATCTCTCGGAGGTCCTACATTCCATCTGATAGCGGCACACATGCCAGTTTTGGCACATGCACTGCAGGTTGCCGACACCTTATTATTTAGAGTATGGCAATTAATATACAATGTCAATTTCATGTGTCGTTTGTTCAAGTATATCACTTTTATCTGGTGGCACTGTTTAAATGAAAATTCAATAATTTCTATTCAAATATGTAGAAAAAGTTAACAACGTATGATATATCTCTTAAAGGGTTAGTCAATCCAACAAAGATATTTCAGCTTTTGCTAGATGCTGGAGAGTCAACTGACTGACTGAACTTTATATCTTTTCAGGAGCACTGTTTTTCAGTTCTTGTGTTTCAACACTTGCCATTGCCATAACAGTGAGATCTCTCTCTCTCTCTCTCTTTCTCACACTAATGAATTTTTAAAATATTTTATGTATTATTGAGAATGCAACAGAAGGAGTAAACATACTCACCCCAAGGCTGCTGGGAACTCACAAAACACCAGTATGGACAGGCAGGGCCGTAGATAATTTTTTTTCCTGGGGGG